GGGGGGGTCTAAACCACGTGATCAGTGATACGCTGAGGGAGGAAAGGCCACCCTGCGGGCGAGGTCCCACCCGGTTTGCCTGTCTAGATACCTAGGGCTTTCCGCCGGCACCCGGCCTGTTGTTCCTACTCCGCTCATGTCTGCCTAACTGCCTGCTATACCACGGTCTGTGAAAGTTTCCTCCAGGCCAGCGGCAAGACCATCGGAAGAAAGTGCTGGTGTGACTCTCGCTTTGCAGTTCCCCGTGGAACTCTGTCCCTGAAACCTTCCATCCACCTTCGGTTCGCCTGGCAGGTGAGGGTGGAGAGGCAGCTGCCAATAAAACAAAAGAGCTGCCTTCGTCTCTGCAAGAAACCAAAGGAGAGCGCGGAGCCTGTCTGGACCCGCCCTGGGAGTCCGTACCTGACGACAGAAAACGCTGCGCTCCGCACAGGGCGCGGACGGTCAGGAAAACCGGGAGGCGGGGCGGGCCCACGGCGGGCCCACGGCGGCCAGACCAGGGAATCCCTCCTGCGCAGGCGCACTGGGACTCGCGCGGACGCAAAGCCCCGCTGGGTCGGAAACCTTACGTCAAAGTCTACGTTGCAGACGTAGGGGAGGCCGCGGGGGAAAAAGCTGGCTCTCCGGTCACGTGACGCGGCAGGAGCGTCGTTGACTCCTCCCTCCCCAAGATGGCGTCTCTGCTGCAGTCGGAGCGGGTTCTCTACCTAGTCCAGGGAGAAAAGAAGGTTCGCGCCCCTCTCTCGCAGCTTTACTTCTGCCGCTATTGTAGCGAGCTGCGGTCGCTGGAATGCGTGTCTCACGAGGTAACGCAGTCGTCCCGGGAAGAGTACGGGCGTTGGGGGAGGGGGAGAGGCGTTCATATGAGTCACCGCGACGGGCAAGGAGGTTCCGCAGGTTGGAGGCGGAGAATCATTTGCCTGCCTTGCTGATTGGCCGGTTTTCCGTCACTCAGATGTGCCCGAGCTTTAATTTGCTCCGAATTTGTCACTCGGAAAGGAGGAGCCGCCTTGGGTGCGGCTGAGCGGAGCGTCTGGTTTCAGAGCACCCGCTGATTGGACAAACTTGACTTTGGGAACCCCGGCTGCCCCCGGGGGTGGGGTGGCGGGGCGGATGATCATTGGGTGGGTCGGGGAGAAAAAGGTGTGGGCGTGCTTAGTTCACGCTATTCACGCCACTTGTGGGGCTACGGTCTTTCCACGGTTCGTTCGCGTGGGGTGGACGCGGCATTGTCATTTATGCCGCTCCCATCCTGGAAGTTATGCCTCTACTTTGGCCAGAAACTGGGCCCTTAGACCGCCTGGCTCTGTGTCCTGGCTCAGGCCAAGGCCTGCAGCAGGGAAGAGGTTGGGGTGGCGTGAGCTGAGCGAAAAGCATTTACAAGAGGGCTTGTCATGTAAGAAGCTGGAAGGGTTATCTTCCTGGCGCTTCCCCTGAGAGTAGGGTGCTCTCGTCCTTCACAACAAGTGGGCGTTCGGGGTGGGATTGCTTAGTAGTTACAAGACCCCACCCCATTAAAAATCACCAGATCCATAACTTCTGCAGCGCTTGGCACATCTTCTTTATTCAGTAAGCTTTGGGGATTAAAAGATGAGTAAGACATCAATCCTGCTGTTGAGTAACTCACAGTCTAGGGAAGGAAAAACTGATAGTAATAATAGATGCAGGTTATTTAATACTTTCCATATGCCATATGCTTTACATGATGTCCTTTAATCTTCCTACAACCCAATGGAATGGATACCTTTTTTTAAAAAAAAATGATTTTACAGTTAAAGAAATGGACACATAATGTTTGCCCTAGATCACACAGCCAGAAATTTGGGAGTCAGAGGGAGGACTAGGATTTGAAAAGGAGCATCCTGACTTAAAACTTCAGTGAAGATCTCTGGATTGTTAAAAAATGTGTATGAAAATCACATCCTGTACTATAAGCCACTTTACATATTATTAATAATAATTTTATTGGGGATGTTTTTTACGATATTAAGAATAGTGAGGGGAAGCATTTAAATAATACAAGAAAAATTAATGCCATGTATGTGTAATATGGCATTGATTTTTCATGGATTTTTTCATTAACTGTGTGTGTGTGTGTGTGTACGTACCTGTGTGTACCTGTGTGTACCTGTGTGTATCTCCGTGTATCTCCTTGGCAGGTCCACTCTCTTAGATGCTTCCCTGGTCCAGCTCCGCCCTTTCATTTGGTGGTTGCTAGGGAGCTCAGTCTTTATGATCTTTAAGGATGTCTTCACTCAGGACGCTCAGTCTATAACTGCATCTTTTACAGACTGGTGTGTACCTGTGAGATAGAGGCCATTAGGGCTTGGGGAAGGGTAATACCAGTGAGGGCTGGAGCAGTCCAGAAAGTTCTAATGGAGAATCTGTATTGGAGCTGCACGTGAAGGGACAAGCGTAATTTGGAAAAGGGGCACAAAGGAATGCCATATTTTGCCTTTTGTCATGAGTCAGTGCAAGTATTTGTTAGCAATGCTATATTTTATGTTTTGGGAGATTATTTGAGCAGCAATTTTATTGATCTTTTCAAAATGGTCCTGTTTATAGCAAATGATGAGAAGAGAAACCAGTTTCTATAGTATTTATGTTCAAGTGAATCTGTTCATCTGCAGGTGACTAAAGTTCTAGACTTGTCAAATAGGATCTACCTGCATTTAAGAAAATAATTATTCAGACCTTTAAAAATACAGTGAATTTAAGTTTTATACTGTGTTTTTGAATTAAATACAATAGTAGTTTGGCTCAGTAGTTTAATTTGTTGTTTAAATATATCTAATTGGTTGGCTGTAGCTGACTTCAGTATAATAATATACCTCAAATTTTACTTTTTGGCAGAGACATATATTCAAGCTAAACTGAATTTCTTTTCCTCTGATTTTTTGATTTCTTGTTTCTTTCTAGGTGGACTCCCATTATTGTCCCAGTTGCTTAGAAAATATGCCATCAGCTGAAGCCAAACTAAAAAAGAACAGGTAAGACCAGGATTCATTTTCTGTTTCTCTCAATGACTTTTGTAATAGCTGGTAAGAAAACACATGGAATTAACTCTCTTTTTCAACTAGCTGTTTTCATTTTTTTTTGCATCACCTTTGCCAAAGATGAAATGTCCTTTGATCCTTTAAATGAACTTTCCATTTTAGAACAGTTTTAGACTTAAGAATTATTGTGAAGATGATACAGAGAATTCCCATTTACCCCACACCTAGTCTCCCCTACTGTTAACATTTTACATTAGTATGGTATATTTGTCTCAACTAATGAACAATACTGGTACATTATTAAATAAACTCCACATTTTATTCAAATTTGTTTAGTTTTTCCCTAATCTCCTTTTTCTGTTCAAGGATCCTATTCAGGATATCCACATTATGTTTAATAGTTATGTCTCCTTAGGCTCCTATTGCTACGACATCCTCATAGACTTTCCTTGGTTTTGATGACCTTAAAAGTTTTGAGAAGGTAATGGTCAGATATTTTGTAGAATGTCCCTCAGTTGGAATGTGTCTGTTTTTCTCATCAGCTGGGGAAATGTGTTTTTGGGGAGGAGGACCACAGAGGTAAAAAGTACATCTCTCAACATATCAAGGGAACATGCTGTCAATATGGCTATCACTGTTGATGTTAACCTTGATTACCTGGCTTTAGTTAGTGCTTGTCAGGTTTCTCCCATGTAAAGTTCCTCCCCCCACCCCCTCTTCTATACTATACTCTTTAGAAGGAAAATCACTATCACAGCCCACACTTAAATAGTAGGGAGTTGTGTTCCCCCTCCATGAGGACTATCTACATAAATTATTTGGAATTCTTTTGCATGAAAGGTTTTTCTTGTCTTCCCCATTTATTTATTTAATCATTTACTTAAAAGAGCAGAATGGGCTTGTAGATATTTAAGTAGTCTCCTATATCCCTTTGACTTATCCCATTTGTTGTGTGTGGAGGGTTGTTTGTTCATTCATTAGATCACTTTCTTACTTCCTGGTACTATAAGATACTCCAGGGTCATCCTATATATTTTCTGCCTCACTCCTAGAATTAGCCATTTCTCCAAGGACCCCTGTTTTTTTTTATTGGAGAAGGGTATTAAAAACCAACATCTGGGTAGTAGGTATGCTCATTGTTCCTGGGAGCTGTTTGGTTTTTCCCTTGATGTGAAAGTTTTTTGCCACCAGTCACATTCCTACACCCCCATGGATGTGAACCACTATTATTTGTCTTTCCTGTCTCTGAGAAGTATCTTCTGATAAGCCAGACAGTTTTGTATGCTGTCCACACATTAATTTTAACATTTAATCCTCAAAATATCCCTGAGAGGTGGATACTATTCTTATTCTTATTTGAGGATATTATCCAGATGGGAAAATATCGCAGCTCATTGGAGTTATGGAATGGAACTTCAGACCAAGTCGAGGACTGGCAGTGAAATCTTGATAATCTCAGGTGATGGAGAACTTAAAAGTAACAAGGTACAGGGGAAATGTTGACTGAGCACTAGGAGAATAGTGTCAGGAAGCCCTGAAAATGCAGCACTTCTGAACCATTCCAGTTTGATAGCATTGTTTGGTATCTCTTTCAGCTTCCTGGCACAGCAAATGAGCAGTTATTTTCCAAACCAATTTTCCAATCATTGTATTGTTGCTTCTCAGTTTTCCACTGTGCAGTTGGTCTGTTCTCTCTAAAGGCATAAACTGTGACACTTTTGTTTTTCTCAGAACTCTTTGTGGTCTGTACAAACATAAAAAGAGTCTGAAAATAGTTAACTCCAGACTGTTAACACTGCTTCCCTATGTGGAGTAGATTGGGTCAGGCTCTAATTCTTCAGTAACTTTGGTAATGATTGCCTTTTAAAAAATAATGAATATAATACTTCTGAAATTTTAAAACAAAGTTTGTAAGAGTCTCAGGTGTACTTTATTATTTCTTCTTGCTTGAGAGACACTCCTCCCTTATAGTTCTCTCTTGAATTTCTAACACCTAGACCAATGTCTAGTACCTAGTAGGTGCTTGGTAACATTTGCGGAGTGAATAAATTGTTTTTTTTTGTTGTTTTTTATTAAAAATATATCTTTATTGATTTTAGAGAGAGAAAAGGAGAGGGAGAGAGAGATAGAAACATCAATGATGAGAGAGTCATTGATCAAGCCCGCAACTGGGCATGTGCCCTGACCGGGAAATCGAACCCCGATCGCCTGGATCCTAGGTCGATGCTCAACCACTGAGCCACGCCCGGCCAGGCAAATTGTTATATTTTTTATATCATAGATGCGCCAACTGCTTTGACTGTCCCGGCTGCATGCACACCCTCTCCACCCGGGCCACAAGCATCTCCACACAGCTTCCAGATGACCCAGCCAAGACCACCATGAAGAAAGCCTATTACCTGGCCTGTGGATTTTGTCGCTGGACATCTAGAGATGTGGGCATGGCAGACAAATCTGTGGGTGAGTGGAGTAGACTTCAACATGAAATTTTGTGAAATTAGCAGTGCCGTAATTATATGCAGATTATTTGTTATCTCTTGGACAGTAGGAGCTGAATTTAGAGTATATTTTCATCAAATCTTCTGCATTCCCAAATTCTCACATTTATGGACAATATTTCATCTGAGACTAGGTTAACTATTTTGTTTCCTTAGAGTTTGGAAAGTAGTTTTATAAATCTGACTTCTAAGAATCAAAACATTGATGCTCTTCATAAAAAATAAATGCTCCTGATCACAAAACACACCATGAACAAAACTAAAATAAAAGTGAAAAATTAAGAAAAATATTTGGATCTTATACAACAGACTAAAGGTAAATAACCAAAAATGAGGAACCTTTATAAATCAATAAGAAAGAGACTCAATGGAAAAATAGGCAAAAGATATTAACAGCTGCTCTCAGAGTGGAAATAAAAATGGTCAGTAACCAAAGTGTGCACACTGAAGAGACCACAGTAGGGTTAAAATGATATCTGTCTTCACCCCACACTCTTTTTTCCCAATCAGTGTTCATTGATTTTTAGAGAGGGGGAGAGAGAGAGAGAGAAACATTGATGTGAGAGAGAAACATTGGTTGCCTCTCGTATGTTGCCCAATGGGGAACCAAACTTGTAACCTAGGTATGTACCCTGACCGTGAATCAAACTCGAGACCTTTCAGTGTACTGGATGGTGCTCCAACTGCCTGAGCCACCCTGGCCAGGGCTTCACTCTTAAGCAACCTTGCAGATTCCATGAGAAGACTCTAACCTTTTTTGAAGTCATAACTTACATCCCACCCTCCCATGTTTCCCTCCTCTCAAATTTTATAGACCTTTCTTTTTATCCCTACTCTTTGTTTGAATATCAGACGCTACCTTGTACTGTTAATATTGTTAATATGTGAATTTTTCAAGTGTTTTCAATATGAGTTCTTTGGGAGCAAAGACCCTGTATCGAATGTATGAATTCTTCATTTGATCCAGTTGATTGGATTTTTGTTTTCACACGCAACTTGTTGAGGCAATGTTTTTTTTAAAAAGTCAATAAGTATGTAGAAAGATATGTTCAACTTCACTAGTAATCAGGGAATACAAATTAAAAATTCATTAATTTGGTAAAATATTTTATATCTGGTAATAATCAAGTGTTGGCAAGAATATGGGAAAATAGTTCTTTCATACACTACTACCTTGAAAAGCAGTTTAATAACATCTATTAAAATTTTAAATTGCTTTTTTCCTTCTGCCCAGCAATGCCATGTCCCAAGTTTCTATCCTGGAGCATTTAAACATGTGCTCAAGGATACATGTATATATATGTATATGTGTATATGTGTATGTATGTGTATGTGTATACACACACATACACAACACATAATGTGTATCAGTGAAACAAAAAACTTATGTGTGTGTGGACTTAAAAATTACCTAAGGCATTAATTACCTGATCATCATTTGAGCCTTTCAGAGTGGAGGTTGCACTTATCTTTATTAGGAAACTTCCTTTATTTTCACATTTCCTTTACTTCGTGGTTAACGTCAGAGTAGAAACACTCTTTATTCAGTCAGTTCAAAATCTTGAGTTGCTATTTATTTTTTATATAAATAGTAGCATTGCTAACTCTCCATTGTCTTTTTTCTTTCTGAAATTTTATTTAATTATCTAAAAACTTTTTAGACTTGTTAAAAATTTCCATTTTTGGATTGTCATAAAAGATTTTAGCTTACTAATATATGAGCAAGCTCATAACAAATTCATTATTCATTCATTACATAACTAAAATGAAGTTAATATGAGTGATGTTTTTTTAGATTCAACCTTGTTCTTAAAAATGTAGTCTTTGATTCTTTTTACTTTGCCTCTTGGTTTAGAATGCATGAGCTCTTGGTTGTTTTTCAGACTTTGTAGATTAAGTTGATAAAATATTCTTCACAAACCAAAAAAGTTAACTAAACAAATATATCTTAGTTTCTTAAAAGTGCTTGTTGGTGGGTAAATATTTCCTGAAATGTGATTTATTTTAGAATGACTCCATAGCATTTTTTTAGATTTTGAGTAAATATTTGTGTGTATATGTTTTAATTTCAATGTAGCAAGCAAGTTGTTTGAATTTATTGATGAATTTAAGTTAAATGTAAAAATATAAAAATTCCTCAAAGTGGCATAGTATATGCCTCAGTGAGTTAAAGTGTATTTTTCCATTTTGTATTCTGTCTCTTTTTAGCAAATTAAAGAAACAAAGTCCACAAATCCAAATAGATTTCTCAGTTTGTTCCTCTGTAAATGAATGTTTATGCTTTTTGGATTATAGCTACTAGGATTAGAGAATTTTTATTTCAGAACTTAAAATCTGTGCTTGCTTCTAGAAGTCTCTCTCTTGTAGGGTATCTTGACAGTGATAATTGAGTTCTAGGAGCTCTTAAAAGAGGACAGATAATTCATTTTTTCCATGATGTCATTGGTGTCTGAGGAGCTCTGAAACCACTTTAGTTGGAACTGTTTACAAGTAAGCCACTGTGTCGGTAATGTGCAGAGAAAACATAATGACATTGTCATGTCTCCCAAATTGCGGTTTAGAATAAATTACCAGTTCTAAAGAAGCAATTAGGTAGGACATTCAGATTTTGAAAAATATTACAACTAAAACATTTCTTTTACATAATTATTTTTCATGATTGCCTTAAGTAGGCATCCTTTAAAATATGAGTAATGTATTAAAGGCTGTTATTACTGCTGTTTTTTGCAAGGGAGTATAGTGACACCTTCAGCAAGAGTCGTTTTTGTTTTGAAAAAAGTTATTTTAACTTAAATAATACACATGTATTCATCCCCCAGCTTAAGAGCATAAATATAACCAAAACGGTTTAAACCGCTTGTGTCGCCTTTCCCCACCACATCCCCTTCCTCTGTCTCCCAGAGAGAGAGTCATCGCGATCCTGAATTCAGTGTTTGTCAGTGTCCACTGCCTGTCTTTATACTTCTCCACATATGTATGTACTCACTAGCAAATCATGTTTTTCAGTGTGAAGCAAATGGGAACATACTGTGTGTGTCCTGCTACAACATTTCTCTATCAATATTGTATTTATGATGGTAGTTGATTTCATGCATGACTTACTGCAGATTACTTACTCAGTCTCCTATTAATGGACATTTAGGTTGTTGTCAATTTTTTCCTTTTGACAACAGTACTGTTAGAAACATTCCTGTATGTGTTTCTTAAGTTGATAACAGTAGGGTTTCTCTGCAAAACTAAAAGTAAAATTGCTGGTTTTAAGTTGTGTACTTCTTTAGCTCTCTAAAATGGTTGGCCAGTTTTTTCTCCCACTAGTAATGTATAAGAGTAGACTACCCCTTGTTCTAGATCCTTGGCAGTTCTTAGTAGTGTTTTTCCAAATGGATGGTTGTGAAATGGTATCTCATTACAGTTTATTTTTTCACTTTTTTTATTAGCTTTATTGAGATATAATTTACATATGATGAAGCTCACCAATTTTAAGTGTAGACTGCTATGATTTTTGAAAAATGTGTATACTCATATAGCCACCACCACAATCATGTGACGGAAAAATTTTGTCACCCCAAAAAGTTTCCTCAGCCCCTATGCAGCCAGCTTCTTCCCCGACCTGGCTTCTGACCCACTGATATTCCTTCTATCACGGTACTTTTTCCTATTCTGGAAGTTTATATAATTGGAGTCTTGTAGTCCATCATCTTTTGTGTCTTTCAGTTAGCATAATACTTTTGAGGCTCACCCAGGTTTTGCTTTTTATTGCTGAGTAGTGTACTTTTGTATGGACATACCACAGTTCGTTTCATTCCTTCTCCAGCTCATGGACATTTGAGTTTTTTCTGGTTTTTGTCTCATGAATACAGCTGCTGTAAACATTTGTCTACAAGTCTTAGTGCGGATATGTTTTCGTTGTTCTGGCGTAAATACTTAAGAGTGGAATTGCTTAGGAATTGGGTTATAGGGTGAGTATATGTTTAACGACTAGAAACTGCCAAACTATTTTCCAGAGTGGCTACACCATTTGGATCCTCACCAGCAATGTAAGGAGAATTCCAGTTCCTCAACAACCCTTCGTATTGTCAGTCTTTTTAATTTTAGCCATTCGGATGGGTGTGTAGTGATACCTCATTGTGGTTTTAATTTGCATTTTCTTGATGTGCTTATTTGCCATCCATATATTTTCTTTGGTGAAGTGTTTGTACAAATCTTTTGCCTATTTTTTTAACTGAGTTTTTGTCTTTTTATTGAGTTGTAACAATTGTGTATTCTGGATACAACAAGTCCTTTGTTCAATATATGTTTTGCAAATATTTTCTCAGTCTGTGGCTTGCCTTTTTTCTCAGCAGTGTCTTTTGAAGAACACAAGTTTCTAATTTTTGATGAGGTCGAATTTATCAATTTATTTTATAGTTTGTGCCTTTTGTATCCTAGTGAGGAAACACGTGAACCTAGGGTCACTAAGATTTTCACTGATGTTTTCTTCTAGAGATTGTAGTTTCAGCTCTTTACATGTAAGCCAATTATCCATTGCAGGGTAAGTTTTATATGTGTTGTAAGGTAGGGTAGAGGTTCATTTTTTTTGTAGATGAGTGTCCAGTTGTTGCAGCACCATTTATTAAAAGTATTCATTATGGTTTTACTTTCAGCTTTCTGGAATAATCTTTTTCTTTATGACTTGTGCTGTTTGTTTCTTATGTAAGAATTTTTTTCCCAAACCAGGAACGTAAAACAGAATTGCACAGTGTTGCAGATAAGAACAGGGTCTCTGGAGTCAGAGTTTGAATTCTGACTTTACCGTGTACTATCTGTGTGACTTTGTGCAAATTTTTAACTCCCTAAGCCTCAATTTCCTCATTTGTAAAATAAGGCTAATAATAAGAGTCCCTACCTCACAGGGTTATTACGAGAATAAAATGAAATGTAATACATTTCAAGTGCCTGGCACAGAAGCTGCACATGTGTTAGCTGGGGCAGTGATCATTACCACCATTATTAGAGAAAAAATTTCATTCTGTGCATTTGGTCTGTATAATTTCTAGGACTCTTTCTTGGAAGTTCTGTGATTTTATGTTTTTAAGTTTTATTTTGTGGCCTGCAGATTGACCTATTTTTGTGAAAATAAAATTATTGAATTATGATTTAATTCTTGTTTAATGTTCTTTTATTTTCCAGCTAGTGGTGGTTGGCAGGAACCTGAAAATCCTCACACTCAACGGGTAAGTAAAGGGTCACTAGAGAAATTATGAAATAAAAGATGGAAAGAAAGACTGAAGATCTTCCATTTTATCAGTGGATATGGCCTATTTTGGTGTCTATTACACAGAGAAAGTGCTTCTCATTGTAAGACATTAAATCACAATGGCAAGTTTCCTCCCCATTAAGTTAATAGAAAAACCTAGATATAATTTTAGTTCTGTACTCAAGTTGGGAATTGGAAAAACAAAATGATATGTTTTTGTTTTTTACATATCCACCAACTAAGTTGAGGTTCCATTTGTTCTCAAGTGCTCTTGAAGAATCATCAACATAGACATTTTAACCCCTGGAAACACCACTAATTTAGAAGATGCCCTTTGACTCAATAGTGGTTTCTTATAGAACCATGACTGGAATATCCTTTAACAGTTCACAGAGAATTGATCTCTGTAGTTATTATACATTAGAGCTGATTTTTTTGCCCCTGGAAGTAGAATGTGAGGAAGATAATGAAATACTATTGAAATGAAGTACATATGTATAATCAAACTGCAAATTAAATAACAATTTATAATTACCTACTATTACATCAGCAAAAATTAGAAATACTAATTGGATGATGGTGTGGGGAATTGGACCTTTTTACATATACTGTTGTTAGTGTCAATTAGTACAAATTTTTTGAGCTCTCAGCAGTGTTTACTTCCTGGATTCTGACCTACAGAAGTACTTACACTTATGTACAAAATATTTGTATATACAATTATTGTTAATTTATGGAGTAGTTACTGTGTGCCAGTGACTGTCCTGAAAAATAGGGATACATGTTTCCTGCCATCACAGAACTTAAGTCTAATGGGAAAAGAAAATCAAATAATCCCAGGTAAAGGAAAAACTAAGTAATGTGAAGAAGAGAAATTGTGCCATGTGGACATTTATTAGGGGGAATTGCAACTAGTTAGATCCATATCTGAGGATGTTGCTAAGGTTTGAGAACAGCAGGCACAGAGGGAAAGAATTCAAGGCAGGGGAACAGCATATGCAAGGAGCTCGTAAGTGGAAGAAACAAAGCAAGTTGTAGACAAGGTGAGGGTGACGAGTGGAGCATAGCATTGAGCGACTGGAGAGAAAGTTTTGCTGTCAGATCAGCCTTTAAAGGTTTTAAGTGAAGACCTGACTGGATCAGATTAGTGTTTCTAAAACATAATTGCTACGGAATTGAGAGGACAGGCGTGGGTACCAGGAAGCCATTAAGTCCTATCATAGGAAATGGTTAAACACCTGATAGGACATCTGTGCTGTGTAGTAAGATGCAGCCTTTAAAAAGAATGAGGTACATATATTTGTACTGGATGGGAAGTTTAGGGTACTTTCAGAATGTTAGGTTTTTTCTGTGTGAAAAATAAAAAGACGTGTATCTACTTTTATATATATAAAAGCTGTATGTCTACACATGAGTTTTTTTTAATGTATGCAAAATTTAATATCATACCTGTACTTGTAAATGTGTAAGAAAGATATCTAAACTCTAAAAGTGGATACCTCTGGTCAGGGTAGATTTGGGCTAAAATTAGGGATAAAAGAGAAGTTTCACTTATTTTTTATATTTGTATATTGTTTGAATTTCACAATTAACATATATTGTTTTATGATTAAAAAAATACTTTAAAAATGAAAATGTGTGAGGGAGTGGGGGAGAAAATAGAGTATGAAATGTCTCATTCTTAGATATAGATGGTCCTGTCGCCACGTAGGAAAAATAGGAGCATTTGTGAGGGGAAATAAGTAATGAAGTAAAAGAGCAATGAACAGAGAGCCTGACATTTCCAAGCCTTTTCATTGCCCATTTCTTCCTGTTGGCGACCTTAAGGTTTCCATTTCAGTTCCGAAACAGCATATAATGAAGATAAACTCTCCTTGAAGATGAGGACACATCTGCCACCTTAATAATTTGTCTTCTCCATTTATTATGTGTCTAATCAGCGTCGTTGGTGAATTTCTTATGCTTCATGTTAGGTTTTTCATGAAACAGATACTGAGTCTTTGCTTTATTGCAGATGAACAAGCTGATTGAGTATTACCAGCAGCTGGCTCAGAAAGAAAAGGTTGAGCGAGATCGCAAGAAACTGGCGCGGCGTAGAAACTATATGCCTTTGGCTTTTTCGGTGAGGACTCAGCACAAAAAGGAGTTTGCATTTCATTGATCAGGACCTTGGTGGCATAAGAACAGTGACTGTTTCAGAAAGTGGCCATTGTCCCCAGATTCCTGAAGGATAGATAACAGAGAGAGGTTCCTCAGATTATAGGTGTTAAGTCCAGCAGTTATGCTTTTACCACATCATTAGTTTTCTTTGAGTTTTAAGGATATTTGTGTTTCTTTCTCCATCACTCCCCTTTCTCTTCTGATTGTTCTCCAAAGAGGCTAATATTTAATTCTGTAGGCACCACAGAACTGTTACAGCTTTTGGATATTGCAGAAGCTCAGAAGTGGTAGATTTTATATTACTATATATCCCACCTTTGACATCCTGGTAGTAGTGGTTTTCCAGCTCTCGTTATAATTTGGGGGGCACCTTCCCATATTTCTCCAGTATAAAAAACACTGACTTTTACACAGTGTATTTGTGTGGTTAAATAATTAGTAATATATGCCAGTGTAATTTTTGATAGGAAGTGTTTATGGAAGTCGTTCTTTACTAGTTTGTATGCTAACAATCAGAAGCAAGAGATTAGGATTTGGAGCTTTTATTATTGTCCTCAAATTTTATTTGCTATCACAAAACAATTTGTTTTTTTGTGTGTTTGCTTGGAGCCAAGCAGGTTGGTATTTAATAAATATTATTTATTGAATGACAGTGAATGGTGTGTCAAGCACTGTGCTAAGTACCTTACACATACTATTTTATTTATTTGTCACAGTAATACTGTGGAGTAGAGAGTATATCCCCATTTTACAGTTGAGGAAATGTCTGTATAGGTTAAATAACTTGTCATACAGCTTCTGCATGAGAATTAGTTAAGCCGTTGAAACCCTAAGAATTGGTAAGTTCTGTATAAAAATATCTAGAATTTAATAAAGCATTAAAACTTGAAAAGCATGTACATTTGCCAAAAACTTTAGAGTCCAGTGGTACAAACAGCATATGTATTGGTGTATTTAGGAGAGGGGTTTGAATTAAATGCATCATTCTTTCAGTTTTCCCATGTAACCTGCCCGCTGTATGAGTTTGCTTCTATCTTATGCTGCATTTTTTTTTGTCTCTGTTGCAACCTGCTGCTATTTTGGGGCCTACAGCAACACACTATTCATGTAGTGGTAAGTTCTCTTTTATAACTTGCTAACCCTGAGGAAGTTAGCACGTGATCACTGGTGTTCCAAGAAGACATTCATCATGTGTCTTAGACACTCCACATAGCTCTGGTCTAAACCGTAGTTTAGATACTTTTAGATTACTAGTAAAAAAAAAAAATCACATTTTGTTCAGTTTTACTATGTTAATGTAGTGTCAGTTTTCATGTTTGGTGCTTTTATTAGTATTTTAAGAATAATATGATGTGGGGCAACAAATTGCTCTTTTTAAAAGAAGCTTTCAAATTTGTTTTGGTTTTGTTTGCTTGTTTCTTGCTTATTTCCCTGAGCTTCTCATGCTATCCCACCCAAAATTCTTTCTTTTGATAAATCGAATATTTAAAGGTGGAATTTCTAATAGGAATTTCTGAACTCTGTTTAGGACAAATATGGCCTTGGAACCAGGCTTCAGCGACCACGAGCTGGTGCAACCATCAGTACCCTTGCTGGACTTTCGTAAGTTTGGACATTAAGTGCCTTTGAGGAAAAAAAGCAGGTATCAAAATGAATATTGAAGGGATGTGATTTTTAAATAAACAAATAACTGACATTTGCTGATGATGAAGAAGATTCTCATACTTAGAAGAGACCTAAGCGGAAGAATACTCTATAAGAGAGGACTACTTCAGTTTTTGATGTCACAGACTGAAGGTAATCATGTGGACCCTTGAGAAATTACTTTTTCTCTTTAGCCTTAAAGAAGGAGAGGACCAGAAAGAGATAAAGATTGAGCCAGCTCAAGCTGTAGATGAAGTGGAACCTCTACCTGAAGACTATTATACAAGACCAGTCAACTTAACAGAGGGTAATTTTATACATGATTCTACTTTGTTTATATTTTACAACTGATTCCGCTTTTGTTACTCTAATGCCTGTGATTTGAGATTTTTATAACGTAGTTGTTAGAAAAATGAATCATGTAAAAAAGTAGATGTAATAGAAGTAAGCATTTGAAGAACTTTAACCTTTAAAAGACGTCATTTAATAGACAGCATTATACAAACTCCATATATTTTCCAGGATCAACTGTACAAATAATGGTTTCTTTCCTTTTGCCTGTAAAAAAAGAACGTATATGCTTAGGTTTCTGAGTATTTAAAATGCCCAATTTCTATATGGTAGTTTTTTGAAGAACACTCTTCACAAAAGCAGTGTTGTTTTATGTAATTACTTCATGTAAGTCTGATATTGAGCAAGTCACTAACTAAGCCTGGTTTCTGCCTTTCATGCTAGTAACCACTCTCCAGCAGCGCCTCTTACAGCCTGACTTCCAACCAATCTGTGCTTCTCAGCTCTATCCTCGCCACAAACATCTCCTGATCAAACGGTCCCTGCGCTGCCGGGTAAGTATTGTGTTCTTTGGAGTTGCCATTTGTACCAGGGAAAAGCAGAATTAAAGTCAACAGAATTGGTGTCTGGCCAATAACAAAATCTCTGGAATGTAGTAAGTATAGAGAATGTCTAGGTGCCCAGGCACTATTTTAAATGCTTTCAACATAAACTCAATCCTCACAACTGTTCAAGGTAGGTCCTGTTGTTACCCCTGTTTCACAGATGTGGAAACTGAGGTATCTGAAGGTTAAGTTCATAGTACTAACCCCTAAAAGAATAATAAAAGACTATATAGCTATTAGTTTAATAGAGAGGAAACAAAGAGGACTAATAAAAAATAATTTAAGGTAAAGCAAGAAAGAAGAAAGATTAGCAAAACCCAGGCTCTGGGAATCTATAGAAGAAAGAACAGAGTTTTTTCAATAAATAAATTGTAAAAGAAAAAAAACAAAACGGAAAGGAGACCTTTTAGATCAGTCCTATCCAACAGAACGTCCTGTGATGATGAAAATACTCTGTATCACAGTCCAACATGGTTGCCACTAGTCACATGTGACTACTGAGCACTTAAAATATGATAGTGCAACTGAGGAACTGAATCTTTCATCTTAGTTCATTTAAGTAACCACATGTAAAAAGTGGCTACTGTTACAAATAACACAGCACAAGAGCTAGAAGAGACTTAAGAGGCATATCAAACACAGTGTGTAGGCTTTATCTAATTCCTGATTCGGACAAAACAGAAAAACAGAAGGGGCCCAGAAAAGAAGGAAGGAAGGGAAAGAAGGAGGAAGGAAAGAAAATTTATGAAGCCTTTGGGGAACTTTAAACACTTTTTTTTTAATTCTATGAAAAGAATTGTTTAGGTTTTAGGGATAATAATAGTATTGTTACTTTTTTTTTAATCCCCACCCAAGGAGATTTTTATTGATTTTAGAGGGTAGGGGGAGAGAAAGAAAGAGAAACATCACTGTGAGAGAGACACATCAATTGGTTGCCTTCTGCACATGCCCTTACCGGGGCTGGGGATCGAACCTGCAACTCAGGTACGTGCCCTTGACCAGGAATTGAACCTGAGACCCTCTAACCACTGAACCACTCTGGCCAGGGCCCCATTGATCCACTTTTAAGAAATTATTCTACATATGTATTTACATGTGGAATTATTTGTGGTAGCAAAATCATGGAAACATCCATCAATTTGGATCTGGTTAAGTAAGTAATAGGAATCATTAGACTAGAATACAGAGGCACCTCTGTGTATGCTGGTATGGAATTCCAAGATAGATTAAGTGGGGGGAAAAATCAAAGGACAGAAGAATGGTCCTTTTTGTGTTATTGTGAAAAAGAAAGTTTTGTGCATATGCGTTTATGTGCATAGGTTATCTGTGAGAAAACACATGAGAAACCGGTTGGCTCTGGAGAGGAACAAGGGGACAGGTAGTGGGTATCTTTACATTGTACCTTTTTTGTACTGTTAAAAAGATTTTTTTAACCAGAGGGCACGTAGTACCCATTCAAGAAATAAGTAGATAATTGTTACTGTATTTTAAAGCATGAGTTCTGGAATTGTACTACTTGGATTTAAATCCCAGCTTCCATTCTTACTGGCTCTGTGAAGTTGCACAGATTACATATTCTTCCTGTGCCCCATTTTCGTCATCTGTGAAATGGGGACAATAATACACCTACCTCATAAGATGATGTGTTTAAATTTTCTTAAACCAAGAATGTATACCTTCTAGGCTAGTAGAGAGGAAATTTTAAAAAAGGACTGAATAATATAAAAGAAAACAAGAAAAAAGATCAACAAAGTCTACATTGTTCAGCACACATAGCAAGTGTATTAGTTTTATTATTTCAGTAGTTTTGAAACACTGCAAAGGTATAATAATATTTGAGAGTGTGGTTGCTTATATCCAGAAGTTCAAAACATCTTTTGTCTATTTTGTAGCGTACACTATTTCAAAACATGAGGTCTTGCAGCAAAATAAAACAAAACTCTAGTAAATGCTGTCCTTCTGAACTTAGCTCCCTGAATCAGCGGAGCGTGTTCTTGTTTTCCTCTGATAAATATTATATATTTTTTCTTTTTAGAAATGTGAACATAATTTGAGCAAGCCAGAATTTAATCCAACATCTATCAAATTTAAAATCCAGCTGGTTGCTGTGTGAGTATTTTGGGATTGGTGTTTTTGTGTGTGTTTTGTTTTCCCCCCATTGTAACATGTGCTTACTGTTGGCTTAAAAAAGAAAAGAAAAACTACATTAAAATAATCTTGCTGTTCTGCTCTTGTTTATGTTTTGAATTATATACCGTGAAGTTTAAGGCAAATCTATAGATAGAATCCAGGGTGTGTTTGTATCAGTGACACAGTGATAGTGTGGTCTGGGGCAATGTGGTAGGTTGGTTATGGGCTGGAGAGGCACTCGTCATTCATTACAAATTATAAAGTACCAAAGTTTGGAAATTATCTTTGAAAAATTAAAGTTAAAAATAATAAAGTATAGCATACTGAAGAATATTCCTGTAACAGTGTTCATTTTATTTAACTCTGTTCTAATAGCCCTTCACTGAATGGGATAAAAGTGATTAAGTTAGTGTTGACTCACTGAAACTTGTCAGTAGAAGGGAATTTTTGTGTATGAAAATCACCCATCAAACAGAAATATTTTGAAAAATAAGGAAAACATTGTCTTGACTTTAGGGTGAAAGAGTCTGTCCTAAGTAAGGCAGGAAGCTCAGAAGCCACTAAGTAAAATAGACAGCTTTGACCTTAGCAAAAACAACAACAAAGTCCTGAGACAGTAGAACAGAAAAGAATATTTGCCATTCCTTGACAAATAAAAGCTAAATCCCTGGAATGCAGAATTCCTCACAAATTGGAATAGATTTGAACAGGCAGCTCACAGAAGAGGAATTCCAAATGGCCAGAAGTACTATGTGGAATGATGCTGAGACTTGTTAGGAAAGTTTTAAAAAATAAACAGCATCTGGTGCCTCTGAGAATGTGGGTAAACATTTGCATACACTGACGGCAGGCTTGTGATTTGCTAGTCTTTTTGGAGAATGGTCTGGAATATCAAGACAAAATTACATAGATCTTTTAACCTAGCAGTACCATCTCAGGAATCTATTCTGTAGAAACAAAAGTTCCAATATCCCAAGGTACGTTTATAAGGATGGATATTGCAACATTTTAATGACAAGAGCTGGAAACAGTTTCAATGTCAAGCTGATCAACATTAAAGAAATAGTTGATTAAATTGAGACATGCTAGTGCTGTAGAATATTATGCAGCAATTAAAAAGTCACTGGCTGTCAAAAGGTTAGAAGTGCTGGTGAGGTAAGAGGAAGGAACTAAAAGGGCCTCATATGGGGTCTGTTATTTTACTCTGCAGGGGTGGACAAAAGTAGGTTTACAGTTGTGAGTACATGAAACAGTTTATTCTTGTATTATTTATTAATTATTGTATTATTTTCCATATGAATAACTCTAAACCTACTTTTGCCCACCCGTGCATTTGTCTAAATTTATTTCCCTCATCTCTGAAATGGGAATACCAGTCTGTCTGTCTGTCTCTCCGGGTTATGAGTGGAGTCAATTGAGCTATTATTATGTTTGCAAATGTGTTATAACTGTAAATCACCATAAAATATATTCTGTTTTCCTAACTATTATTTAATACATTACTGGTTAGCAAGGAAGAAAACTATAAAAATGGTACATGTGAAGTCTGGTGCAAACGCCTTTCTTAATTAAGAATTACACACATTACAGAAGCCCTGAATGGCAGGATGTGCCATTGAGCAAAAATACTTTTTTTCTGACATCATGGCAGTATTTACCTGGGAATCTAAATACATGTGCTCGGGCCACACATCAGACCTACAAAAACCTTGATAACAGGGCCCTTGAATTTGTATTAAGTTACTTAGGTAATCCTGATGACCAGCATGAAAACTATCTAGTCTGAAGTTAAAATACCTTATTCTATTTTAAGATTCACTTCCTCCTACTCCTACCCCCCCTTTTAGTGTCTCTGTAATAGATTTTGTCTTATGTTAATATATGCACAATTAATAGCATTTATGAGTGCTTTGTTCCAAGTGCTTTTATATATATTATTTACTATATTCTCCACAATAACCTCAAGATATAGTTACTATTATTGTCTTCTTTTTATTTCTTATTTTTTGTTAATCCTCCCTTGAGGATATTTTTTCCATTGCTTTTCAGAGAGAGGGGAAGGGAAGGGAGGGAGAGGGGGAGAGAGAAACATCGATTTGGGAGAGACACATTGACTGATTGCTGCCCGAGTGCACCCCGAACAGGGGCGGGAAGCAAACCCACAACCCAGGTACGTGCCCTTGATCTGGAATCAAACTTGCGACCCTTTGATGAGTGGGCCGATGCTCTAACTACTGAGCCACACAGGCCAGGGCGACCTTGTCCTCATTTTAAAATTGAGAAAACCAAAGCACAAAGAGGTAAATATCTTGCCCTGGTCTTTTCAGAGAAATATCTTGGTATCTAAATACTGAACTGGAATTTGAACCTGGACAGTTTTCAGTCCAGAACAAACACTTATGAATACAGTTCTGTGGTCTTATTTAGAAAGGCAGCATAACATAGTGGGTAAGAGCAAGGACCTGGAGCCAGACTGCTTGGGTTTGAATCCTGGCCACTTACCAGCAAGGCACTTCTCTTCCCCAGCCTGGTTTCTTCATCTTTATAATGGGGGTAAAATAATGCTTACATCATGCAGTTGTATGAACATGAGTTCATATTTGAAAAGTGCTTAAAACATTGCCTGGCACATAGCAAGTACTATATAAAAGTATGTGGTAGTTAGTGTTTTTACACTCCTTCAATGTGTTATTAAATTTCTCTTGGGTCTTATAATTAGCTTTTAGATTTATAGAAATGAATTAAAATCTCAAAAAAATAGCTAGTAAGTATAAAAGGCAGATATCTTCCATGATGCCCACACACCTGTAGGCTCTAAACCAGAAGTATACTATACGTAAGATTTCAGAAAGAACTCATTATCAGTTTGGTTTAATGTCTTAAGTTTTTACTGTGGTGATGATACAATTCTCAAATTCTTTTTATTTGACGTGTTCTAATTAACATGAAGAAATCTTTGCTGTACTAACTAAAAGAAAATAAAACTTTTATGAGGCTCTAGTGACTAGTAATACATTTTTTTACTTATGCACAGCAATTATATACCGGAAGTGAGAATCATGTCAATTCCCAACCTTCGCTACATGAAGGTTAGTACTTTGCTTTATTAACAGGAAAAGAAAGAATTCATTGATTGAAGAGGTGTATGTGTGTGTGTGTGGCAGTGTATATTTGGCATGCATGTAATGAGCAAGGGATAAAAAAAGAAGTTTGGGATAATAAAGGGATTGAGATTTTTAAATTTCTTTAAGCTGGGATTCTTGACAATAGCATCTCTGAATGCATGCAGAAGGAGCAGTGTGCACATACAGAGAGGTGGAATCGTGAGTGGCAAAAAGAAAGATGTTGAACTCCACAGGCATCTTTAGCTCTTCTCCATCATCTCGTGTGTGCATATGTAGCAGATAACAGGAATCATGTAGATTTCTTCTTTACCACAGCTGCTCTCTGCTTTGAGGTCCTTATGTGCCCCCCCCACCACCACCCTTTAATGAATTGAAGAATCTTCTGCAGCACCTCTTTAGTTCTTTCCTCTCATGGTGCCCATAAAGACATTTATGAAGTCCCAATTCATTTTGAAGATTTTTTTTGCTAATCTCGAGAGAGTATAAATCAAGGGCAAATTATGGTTTAAGAATTCTTAGAAGTCTTTTACAGTCTGATGTGCCATTTTATCTATGTTATTACATCTGACTAGCCTGTGGCTCCCATTTTTTATTTTGAGGGCTTCTTTTTAGTCCTTAAGTGAAGGACTGGGTGGAGCAAGAGTTGTAAACTTTAAATAATTACTTAGATTATATACATTCCTTAGAATTTCTGGATCTGTAGTAACTGGCCCTTTCCATTGGATCTGTCCCATTTCCTCAGTGAAAATAGCAACTCTAGAGAGAATATGGCCTAACACATAAATAATAGAGTAGGAATGAGTGAGCAATTGGAGAATGTAGTTATGGAGAGGTATGGGTGGATGTTATTGCTCAGGAGTAACTGGGGAAGGTGGGTGATGATTTTGTGAAATATTTGGTATAGCAGCTAGGAGAGTGGACCTAGGTGACAATAGTGGATCATGTCTGAGAGATGCTTTTCCTATTTCACAGGAGAGCCAGGTCCTCCTGACTCTTACAAATCCAGTGGAGAACCTCACCCATGTGACACTGCTGGAGTGTGATGAGGGGGACCCTGATAATATCAACAGTACTGCTAAGGTAGGAGCATTTTGTCTTATCCTGACTGACCCTGACTTTTCCTGGAGTGACCTCATTTGACCTGGCTTAAAGGACTCTATACCGTCTCTATTTCCACATCCATGCAGTTTTGATTCTACCTCCTAAGGTTTTACTTTACTGTGTTTATCTGCAAACACACTGCCACTGCCCTATTTGAAGGACTCATCGTTTCTTACCTGAACTGTGACAGTAACTTCCTAACTGACCTCACTGTTTTTAGTCCAACCCCACATCCATTCTACTCCATCTTCTGTCTTGCCACCAGGATGATCTTTCTAAAATCTAACTTTGATCATGACATGCTGATTATTTGCTGTTTCTCTGACTTTGGGATGAAATTCAGATGCCTTGACATAGCAGAAGAGCTCCTTAATGTCCTCACTTCTGTCTGTTTTTCCAGATGATCTTCCCCCGGATCCCCAAATCTGGCATCCTCCAAATCATACATATTAATGGCTGAGGCCCAAGCAGACCCAGTGGGTTGTGAACTTCCATAGTGGAGAATTGCATATGCTATTTGTTTTATCTAGAATGCTTACCTCCTGCCCCCGCTCCCCTGGCACTCATGCCCACACCTCTCTTTCAGTCTTAACGCGTACTCATTCTTCAAGACTCATAGGAAATCACATGGCCTTTAAAAGCTGGTACACCTCCCCTAGATGCCCTCTGCTTACACAGAGGATACATAGCACTAAGCAAATATTAAAGTAGGTGATTTTGTCTCTGTGTTAGTTGAATGAATGAAATGTGGCCCGTCTTCCTTTTGCTATTGGGTCATTCAGTTAATACTTGGAGAAACTTTGGGTCAAGAACTTTTCTCTAGACCATCTGTTTCTGACTCATCACTCAGCATGGTGTTCATGAACGGAAACTGGTCAAAAGGATGCCTATGTCTTTCAAATAGTAATTAGTAGAGAATCTCTTTATCTTATCCCTTTTTTTATTTCCCTGTTTCATGTATAAAGACTTCCTTCCTTTTAGTCGTGAACGGCTTATTATTTTACTTATTAGCATTACTTCCAAAGAGAAATGACACATATCTGTCCTTGCTCCTTTTTGTAAGAAATAACACTAAGCTGTTCCAGTAAGGATAGCAACAAGTAAGTGCCCGATGCATATGCCCAGCTTGTGGACTTGCTATTTTTTTTCTCTTTACACCTCCCCAGCCTCATTTGTTCCATGATTAGAAATGTAGTTGACATTGTTATCTGTCAGCCTCTGACACAGTGAAGTCGAAACCTAGTTAAACATGAGGATAAGTCTGAAGAACACTTAACTGTTTTCCATGACCATAAACATCCCCAACGTCCCCATTTCAGGAAATATTATGCTGCAACCAATGTTTCTCCTTTATGTTTTTCTTTTTTTAAAAAAAAGATCAACTGTTCCATATATACCACAAAGCTTGAAGACTAATATAGTGAATGCCTGTGTATCTTCATCCCCTTAAGAAATAAAACATTAGTCACAATTAAAGCCCCTGCATCCTTCCCACTTGAATTTCCCAGTGCAGCTGCAATGAAGTAAGCACTTGCTTGACTTTATCATTGTCTTAAATTTCTTTGTCCTTATATTTTTACTGGAAATGTCTGTGTTTTTAAACAGCGTTTTTAAAGTTTATATTAGTGATATAATGCTGTATGTTTCTTGAGTCTTGCTAATTATTTATGAATGTCTACATCAGTGTAATACTTTGCTGTAGTCCGTTGAATGAGTGTCCTACAACTCTCTGATTCCTTCTGAAAAAGGCCTCTCTGTTGCTCTGCAGGTGGTGGTGCCTCCTAAAGAGCTTGTGTTAGCTGGCAAGGATGCAGCAGCTGAGTATGACGAGTTGGCAGAACCCCAGGACTTTCAGGATGATCCTGAGTGAGTGAGATTTTTGTGACCCCCACACCACATTGGCTGATGCAGGAGGCCCACTTATCAATCCTAATTTTTTTATCTGGATTTTTAAAAATAAGTTGCTCTTCTTATAAAAATAATTACTATGGACATTTGGGAAATATATATAAAACCATAAAGAAGAAAACAGAATACAACCTAACCACCAGAGATAAGCATTGTTAACATTCCAGTGTTTGTCCTGTTGTATATTTCTTTCATCATTGGTATCATTTGGTAAGCACATTGTTTTAATCTTTGTTTTTTCACATAAATACATTTTTTCATGTTAATAAAACAATATCAAATGCTTGATTTATAATAGTTGACAGAATACAGCTTGTGAACAGAATATAGTATCCCTATAGATTTATCATTGGATTTGTCCACCCCACCCTCACTTTCTTAGAGTAATTAATAGATTTTATTCTCTCATACCTAGTAACTGAAAAGTAAAAAACCAAACCCTTTCCTGAATGAGGAATGCATCAGTCATTGTTCAGTATAAAGACAGAAATCATGTCAGTTATTTGAACAGAGAGGATTTGATATAAAGAATTGTTAACTGAGTAACTTCAAAGGCTATAAAGAACTTGAAGTATCCCAGAGCTGGCAATTTTATGAAGCAGCTACCACCTAAGGGTTGAGAGAACACAGGAAAATGGTGAGAATTGTTAAAATTTAGGAGCTTGACGGAGGAGCCCCATGGAGCAGAAATTCAAACCTTTGGGGAAGGTGAGAGAAGGGACACTGCTTGTCAGGTGCTGACATCTCAGGGTGGCAGAAGAGGCATGCATGGTGCAGCCAGCTATGCAAGAGTTGGAAAACTGTCGTTGGCTCCTGCCACTTTCTGGGTGAAGGAGCATTGCTGGAGTGGTGCCCATGGGAACCACACACAAACAGGAAGCTCCCAGGGCGGAGCAAGCCCCTCTCTCTTGCAGGCTCTAGTCTCCCTTTAGAGCCCCCTAAAGAGAACCTGACGGGGAGCCAGCCTACAGAGCAGAATGTGGTTAGCAGAGCCCTGGGTCACAAAGCAAGATGTAGAAAGTGAGCTTAGAGCTGAGAAGCATGTATATAGCTTAACGTACTGGCACAGGGAACATTTAAGGCTTTGTAGCAGAATGATCAGAAGTTCCCTCAGCAAGGTTTGGAAAAAATCGAGAACACAGGATGGGTTGGGAGAGTAAAGTGGGAGCACAGGTGAGACTAACACAGTGGTTACCAAAAAGGTTCTCTTGAGAAAGCACCAGGTGGGTGGTTTATTTCATTTTGTTCTGTAGAGTCCTGGGCTCCACCTCAGAGATTCCCTGCAGCAGGTTTAGGGGAGGCGCCAGAAGTCTGAATTTCTTTTTAAACTTTCCAGATGGCAGTGGTTGCCTGGGAAATTAAGGATAGGAAAACAGACTTTTTCCTTTTTACTATTTTTAACTGCATTTTAAAAAATGAATCTGATAACAAATCAAAGGTTTAGTTAACTACAATACACAATGCGTGCTCTGTAATCTTAAGCTTCATGTGAGTCCTTAAATTACATTCATGATGTACAGAAATTCAAGGCCAACTTCTTGAAAGATCATCTGAGATATGAAATTCCAGTCAGATTAATTGTATGACAGATTGACAAAACTGAATTAATTATATTTCACATTACTATACTTTATAGGACTTTTAGATACCTGGAAATTAATGTTATGCAGTACTGCTTAAGTATGTAAATGTTTGATTCCAGCAACTTTTCTGAGAGTAACTGTCATTTGGAGAGTATATCAAGTTCTATTTATTTCATTACTTTTTGAAGCTATGTTATTAAGGCAAACACTTCAGTGCATGTCAGAGAGAACTGAAATGGAAACCTCAACTAAAGAGATATTTTTTCTATTCTAAAAGTTCCTAATTTATAGAGATTATTTACAAAAACACTGATTTATGGTATTCCAGAAATTCCTTTAGCTCTGAGCTATGATCTGTCTTTGTCCTATAGAAATATTACCACATGTGCACAAAGGTGAATGTAAAGGGATTTTCCCAGCACCCTTGTTTATGGCAGGAACGTTGGCAGCCACCTCAGTGTATCCAGCCATGGTAAATGCAGAATGGAATACTAGGCAGCCACTAAGGAGAATGGAGAAGATCTGTATGCACCAATATGGAAAGGCGTGATAAACAGAATGTGGTAAACAGAGCAAGTTGAGAAAAGCAAGTTGCAGATAGTGTGTACCTTTTGTGTTGGTTAAAAAAACAGAAAAGTGTAAACACGAAAATATCTGGTAGGTTAAGAACCAAAGTGTTTGCAGTTTTTCTTTTGTGCTGAAGGAGAAAATAAGAGGAAATACTTTTACTTTTTCCCATTTGAATTTGTTTGACTATATCTTTTGTAACATTTAAAAAAGGAGATCATTTTGCTGAAGAAACTCTTCATTGCTGATAAACGGGTGGTGGTTATATCTTGTCATCAGATTTCCTGTTGGAACATAAAATGACTGTACGTCTTAGTGGCTTGGCTGACTTGTGATCTAATACTGTGCTTATTTCCTTCCATAGCATTATAGCCTTCAGAAAGGCCAACAAAGTGGGTATTTTCATCAAAGTGACCCCACAACGTGAGGAGGGCCAAGTGACCGTGTGCTTTAAGATGAAGCATGATTTTAAAAACCTGGCAGCACCCATCCGCCCCATCGAAGAAAGTGACCAGGGCACAGAAGTCATCTGGCTCACTCAGCATGTGGAACTCAGCTTGGGCCCACTTCTTCCTTAAAAGGTTTCACTGGTGGGCAGATCCCAAAGGACAGTGTCACCACAAACCTGTGTTAAAATGTGGAAGCCGCTGCTTCATTAGGCCTTGTTTATAATGATGTACCCATGCACTACTGAATCCTGTTCCCAGGAGGGGGGGGCATAGGCAAGGCATTAGGAACACAGGGCAACTGTTGTTCCTCTTGCTTTCACTTCTGTTAACACCAGTACGTCTGTGTCTCCCTCACTGAACCCTGCACGTTGAATAACAACAGCATAGTTTCATCCCAAGAAAGCGGATGGCTGTTCCTTGGAGTGGCATTAGATTTGCCGCTTAGAAACACTGACATATATCTTCTGATCTGATCTCACACAGGATCATAATCTCACAGATGAAGCTTAAAATGACAACTGAAAGATAGACCTATTAGCCACGATCTGGCCTTGGTCTCAGTGTCAACTGCTTTCTGCGTCCGTTAGATATAATCAGCAATCTAAACGTATCCCTTGACTTGCCATCGTGTAGATTTCCATTTGACAGGAAAATAGAATTTTCACATTGTCTTTAATTTTGCGATGATTGAAAACTCTTAAGGCACTTTGATATGCTCTCTTCTGAGTGAATACAGGATACTTATTGGTTGCTCTTAAAAATGTTTTCCCAGCAGAATATGGAATTTTTTTTTTTTAGAAGAATTTGGGAAGCAGGCATTTACATGTCATGTCAAGGGGGTGGCAAATTCCATTCACTTCAAATTTTGCCACAATATCCAGGGATGAATGCTTCCACATGGAGGCAATCTTTGTATGTCTTACTCTCTACCCCTTCTCTGCTCTGCCTCTTTAACTCAGTAGATTGTTCTGAGTATTTGCGACCTGGAAAGAACCCAAAGAAAACTTGGTAGACAAGTTTACTTCTGGAATGCAGAGAACATTTTAAAGGTTAGATTGTTAGCATGATCTGAACTATTGTTCTTCCATTGATTTGAGGTGGGATTAACAATTATAATCTCTTGAATCCAAAACTGGATATTAAGAAAAAGAACCTTTCCTGAGTATGACTTTTTTCAAATGGTATGTCAAATGAGACTGTTTTGATTGTAAACCATAAAATAGCTCAGCAAGTAGCCCAGAACACTTGCCTAACAGCACACATTCTGTTTTCATTCCATATCCTGGAGTGGGGTTGTTAACCTGAATTTCTGTGATGTTTTCTAAAATGAGACAACAAAGTAGACCACCATCTGCACCACATTTTCTGTACATGCATTGTTAGCAAGCGGCCAACAGACTTTTGGTGAAAAGAGAAATTTTTCCTGTTTACCATGGTTTTGTTTTCAAGTGAAAGCCTTTAGTTTAAAAGAAAAAAAATAAGATCTATAGTAATCTAGAATATAGACAGGACTTAGTATCTTGTCAGCTCCCTCTGGAAGATAAAAATATTTAGGAAGCCTTTGAAAGACACTAAGTGGTACTCCTGAGGTCAAGCCAGTTTTATGAAACAATATTCCACAGAGTAATATATATGGTGCAGTATAAGAAAAAACTCATCTCTAATGTTATAACAATAATAAGTAAGATTTAGGCTCCTAAAAGTTGGGGCAGGGATTGTGTAATTACAAATTTGCAAACTATAGAAATAGTTTCATGTGTGACCCCACAGAGCGTCAAATTAATTTTTATTTCACTACCTGCTAGAGCCTACTGTGAAGCCGCTCCATTTGCTGGTGGAGTAAAGGGCATCAAAGTAGACGATAGCTTTCTTAGTTTACACACTTCCATAGACTACACACAGTTGTATGTTGTGCATTTATGGCATGTAGCTGGTATTTGTTTCCAAAGTAATAAGGTTAAAGTAATGGGTCTCGTCACCCCCTGTGACACAGAAACACAACACAGAAACACAAAAACACTTTTGATCATAGAATTTTTTTTTTCTTCAGAAGCCAAATTAACTTGCAGAATAACAGAGTCATTGGTTTAATGTTTCCTCAAAATAGTTTGCAGTGCAAGCTGGTATTCTGTGTGTTAGTAGAAATGGTTCAACATCTGTAGCTGGTGAATTCGGTATTTTATTTGTCACTTTTGTATATTAGATTAGATGCAGGATTTTTACTGCATAGTCGGTGTGCACCACTGCAGGCGAATTAGATGTCATTAGCACTAGAAACTACAATTTTGGAAACTTAAGGCAAAGTTAATTTGGATTTGTGATTTGATTAGCCCACCAAAGTTTTATTTTGTTCAAAGTGCTTGTAGGCATATTGAGCTAAATGTCATGCGTATTTGTGAAGAAACATCCTTTTTGGTCCCTTTGGGGAATGAGGGGCACTCCTTGATCTTAATGAATGGCAGGTTCCTGTTTTGCCTTATTGCTTAACTTAATGTAGTGAAATAAAGTGGACAAAGCTTGAGTGTGTTTTGTTTGGTTTCATGAAGACTGGAACAGCACGGCTAGTCAGAAGACAGGTGGAGTTAAGAGTTAGTATGAGAATCAGTGGGGAATGCTCCCTTCCATTTCTTTAAGTGAACTAAGCTAAAAACTCATATCAGGTTGGTTCACTGTAACATATGGATGGATGTTACTTGAGCTCCTTATAAACATATTCAGAACCATTATATAAATGTTACGTTGCTGGTCTCTACCAGCTTCTATCCTGGGTCATTGCTCCCAAAAATATCCTTTCAAATATACAAAATGGCCCAACCCCAACAAGTAGCCACTCATCCACCTTCATCTGTACTCAACTCTTCTTCCCTCCTACTGGAAATGGTCTTCATTTCTAACCAAAAGCACAAAATAATGCTGGAGGATGTGAAAGCTGTGGTACACTGAAGGCAACCATCGTAACAAAACCCAAACCCAGCTCAGTTCCTGACTAGATTGACCAAACCCCACACAAATAGAAGAGGCTTGTCCATTTTCAAGCATTACTACTTGTTACCCAGTCTCTACTGTTATATATAAGCACTGACTGGCAATAAAAAATGAGATACACAAAGAAAAACCAAGCCATTTTTTATCTACAGTCAACAAAACCACATACAGATATGATCCAGATGTAGGGACTAACAAACGGGGACTTAAACTCTGATTAACATGTTGAATCTAGTCGAAAATATGGGTAATATGTGTGAATAGATATCAGCAAAGAAGTAGAAACTATAAGAGACAAATTGAAATAAAAAAATACAGGATCAGAGATGAATATCTTCTATGGGCTCATTAGTAGATTTGTCATAGCTGAAGAAGAATCAGGAAACTTAGAGATGGGTCAATAGATATTATCCAAACTGACCCCCCCCCCCAAAGAGTGAACCAACAAAATATTCTAGATCTATGGGACAATATCAAATGGTCTAATGTGTAATTGGAGTTCCAGATGGAGAAGAAAATGGGCAGAAGAATATTTGAACAGATGACATCTAAGAATTTTCAAAATACAAGGAAAGACAAACCACAGATCCAAGAAGCTCAGATAAACCCAAGCACTTTCTCATAGAGGAAAAGATATATATACTATATGATGAAATCTCACCCCTAGGTGTTTACCTATGAATACCTATGGCCATGCAGCAACCTGTGTATGAATGTTTATAATGGCTTTATTTATATTCATGGAAATCTGGAACAACTCTAATGTCCATCACCTGGCAAATGAATTGTTTTACCCCAGTGTAGCCACACAGTGGCATTCTCAGCAATAAAAAGGAACACATTACCAATAACATAACAATATGAGTGGATCTCAAATACAATATTCTAAGAAAAAGAAGTTAGACCCAAAAGGCTATATAGGATTCCACTTATGACATTCTGGAAAAGGCAAAACCATAGGGACAGAACACAGACCAGTGGTCACCACTGACAGTGTATGTGGGAAGTGGATTGATTGGTGCATAAGGGAATTTTGGGGGTGGAACTATATATTTGTGAATGTGTGTAAAATTTTCTAACTGTAAAACGACAAGGTAAACTTCTGTACAGAAATTATACTTTAAACCTCATTAAAAAAAATTAGGTGACAAATGTTTTAGGTGACAAATGATGATTGGATATGTCAAAAATTATTAAAGTGGTACCAGAATGCTTGAAATTAGTAAAATATTGGCAGAGTAGTTACAAGTTGTTCCCAAAACGATATAACAATGCTTATGTTGATCCTTAAGACGTTTTTCATTTTAGAAGTTGGAAAAACAGTACTATTGTCTTTGGATTTGTGGTTTCACCATTTATTAACTATATGACCAAGAGCAAGTTAATCTGTCTGAACCTGTTTCCTTTTCTATAAAACAGGGACAATCATACTAGAGTAGAGGATAGTGGTTACCAGATAAAAATACATGACATCCAGCTAAATTCGGCTTTCAGATGAGTCATTTTTTAGTATAAATGTCTGAAACATGTTTATACTAAAATATGGTTCGTTGTTTATCTGAAATTCAAACTTAACTAGACATCCTGTGTTTTTGCTTCTAATTCTGGCAACCCTGCAGCAATTAAGCCACTCGCACCGCAAGACATTCGCTCAGCTTTGGCATAATAGGCACTCAGTGGGAGCTAACGCTGCCTTAATCCCATCCCCTCATTCATTACTTGTTCCTTTATTCTTTCACTCAATTTTTAAATAAATCAGATGCACTTGTAGCTCTTCATCCCAATCAGGGACCAACCCAGACCAGTGACACACATCAAGACTGCAAAAGTGAAGCCAAGAAATTCCGAGCCGATGACGTCAAGGCGCACGAGGCCCCGCCCCCAGGGCGCACGTACAAGGCCCCGCCCCCCAAGGGCGCACTAGACGCGCAAATAAGACGTAACAGGCCGGGAAGCAGCCCGGGGGCCTGACGGGATTGTGGCGGTCCACTCTTCCAACTCGGAAGCGGCCGCTGCCTCCGGGCGCTCTCAAGATGGCGACATCTCTGGGTTCCAACACCTACAACAGGCAGAACTGGGAGGATGCGGTGAGTGTGCCTGCCGGAGGGGGACGGAAAGAGGCGGCGAAGCTGGGCCTCCCGCGGGCGGGCCAGGCCGTGGCTGCGG